TAAAGAGAGTCACATATGTGACGGGCGGCTATTTACTAAATTGAAATACATGCATGCATGCATGCATGCATATATACATACAGGGTTTATTTCTAGAGCACCCCTCATTCAGCCATTTCAAACTGGGCCCTGGACTTTGGATGGCCACAGATCCCAGCCACAACATTTAGAGCCCAAGAGCACCGGGGAAATTAGGAGCAGCTACAAAGGGCTCCTTGCAACACCACACATTTTAAATGCTGACCCTTTTTTTGTTTTGCTTCCTCAACAACAGCGACTATTTATTTAAGCTGCTGCTCATCGGCGATTCTGGAGTGGGGAAGTCCTGCCTGCTTCTCCGCTTTGCGGTAAGATGGGATCGACGATAGAAACGATGGGAGAAGGCAGGCAGGGTTCAAAACTGGCACTGAACTCTGCCTCGTTTTCAGGGCCAGGCCTAGCTTGAGTCTAGAGGAGGAAGATGCTCCTGAGAAAATCCCCCAAGGATTTGTCTTTGCAATCCTGCACTTGAGTATGCAGAAGTCAGTGGGGCTGGAGTGCATATGAAGATGAGGAACCTAAGGCCAGATTCAGATCACTTGTCCCTCAAATCTCTTTGGGGCATCTGGGGCATGGGTCAAATAAAGTCCAGATGATGGTCCCTTTGAGGGACATCCAGGCTCTCACCTCCAACCAAATCCTTGTTTTTATTTCCAAGAGATGATTTCAAGAGGAGTTTGCGTCTAGAGCTCACCAATACTCAACTCCAAGGCATCTTTTGGGACAACTCTTTAAGACGTCTACTATGTCCACATGCTTAAATCCCCTGTGGTCCTTTTCCTTCCCCAGGATGACACCTACACAGACAGTTACATTAGCACCATCGGAGTGGACTTCAAAATCCGGACAATTGAGCTGGAAGGGAGGACCATCAAGCTGCAAATTGTGAGTACCTCCAGGGGCTAGAAGAGAGATTAAAAACCAGGTCTCCTGCAATTTCCTCCTGTCTCTAGGAATCTGGCATAATTGCAATGACTAGGCAGAAAATAGGACAGAGTTGGCTCTTCTTGTCCTTCACTTGGAAAGCTGTAGCTGCTGAAGTTCTTACTCAGGAGCTACTCCTCAGATGGAAGACTTGCTAGTCTTTAAAGACTGCCATGATATATGACAGCTCCTCCAACGTGCTGCCATCGGCCATCTCGTAGTCGTATTCTGGAAGGAATTATGGGAGCTGGAGGGCCATGGGAGGGTACCAGGTTTGGGAAAAGCTTACACACTAAGCCAGAGACTATCTCCTACAGCAAGAACAACTGGTCTTGCTATGTTAACTCCAATAGCAACAGAGGAACCCATTGTCACAATGTTGGTCTAGCAGAATCCACCTTGCAGATGGAGTATCATCTGAAGCCTCCTCTGTCAAAGGGGGCTTCACCCGTATCAGCTTTGTCGATTCTAGAGGACACTGACCAGGATCACGCACTTCTTTTCTCCTTAGTGGGACACTGCTGGACAGGAGCGCTTCCGGACCATCACATCCAGCTACTACCGAGGCGCGCATGGCATTATCATTGTGTACGATGTGACTGACCAGGTAAGGCAGCTGTTTCTCCGAGGCAGGCAGAGAAGAGGCATTCTCAGGTTGCCTCCATTCCTCCAACCACCAGCTTTCTCAGCCCCTACGAGTATCTGCAAGCAGCAGCAGCCAACGTCAACTGGCAGATTCCCAGAGAACACCCTGCCCCCCCATCAAGGGCTGTTCAGCCATAACATCGATCTGGCACCTCCATATTCAGAAGCAATTATATCACTACCCCCCTCCCCCCCGTATCTGGAGAGCAAGAGCAAAGGGTGCGGCCTTTGAATCTGTGGCCTTAGCTGTTGAACTAGATGGATCATCAACCCAAAAGGTTTGTGGGTCACGCAAAGGGCGTGAGCATCCTTTAGAAGCCCTCAAATAATTATTTTACTAATTCCTAAATCCATACGTACACGCATACCCCTCCTTTACCTCAGTGTATAATGAAAGAGGAACACACCGTTGAAAAGCATCTTAAACTCATACATGAAAAAAGGTTCTTGCTCATCGTACCTGGCCAGGCGAGCGTGCAACATTTTTGTCTAAGAAGAGAAAGGGTATCTGGATTGAGTAAAGACGAGGTGAGAGCTCCAGATGCAGGTATTTTACGAATTATCTTCCTGCTCTCTCTCCCCACTCCTCTCCTCCTAGGATTCCTTCAACAACATGCATCTCTGGCTGGAGGAAATCACCCGCTATGCGAGTGAGAACGTCAACAAGTTGATTGTAGGAAACAAGAGTGACCTCTCAAGCAAGAAAGCAGTGGATTACACTACTGCCAAGGTGAATTTGGGGAGTGGGAGGGAGGGGGGTATGAGTGGATCACACCAGTTTTCCCCCTGAGTTGGTGAGAAATAGATCTAGATATTGCTGAACTACAACCCCCAATTTATGATCCTTCACATGTTGCTCAACCACAACTCCCCGCAGTAACGTTGCCAATGACAAGACTTTGCTGCTTTCTGAAGTTATAAGTCCCACAACTTAATACCAAGTAAAAATACATCCTGATCAATGAACAGATTTTTAGAAGTATGAATGCATCTATGTATTAAGCATGCTGTACAGATGGCAAGTGCAAAACAAGTATTTGTATTTATAGAAAAACAGAATCCCTGAACACTTAGGTTTCAGAGCATTAATCACGTAATGTTGAAGTCCTCAGGGCACTGGGATTTTTCACAATCCCTCCGAGGAACTGAGGCTGTCAAAACCCCTCGTGCTTTGTTCCTGAACTTCCACAGAGGCACAAATAGGGGTGTGCTGGGGAGAAGCAGCAGAGCCAAACAGAGAAGGAGTGTAGGCCAGCCCTGGAGTTGGGTTCAAGTATTTCCGTACCCCAGCGAGGAAGTGAGGGGAGAAGGGGTTTAAAACCAACCAACCAGCCAAGAACTCTTCATCCTGCAATATTCAGGCTGGCAGGTTCTTGGAGACTCCCAAGAAATGGGATGAGATGATTCTGTAACATTGCTTTAAATTGTGTAACTACCCTAGACCCATGGTAAAGTGCGTACCATGGGTCACTAAACCAGGGATGAAGCTGTCCTTCATCAATGTGCACTGCCCAAGATGGAGAGGTGTTCCTGCCATTCCCACCTCGGAAGCACAGAGGAGATCGGAAGTATCCTAACCCTAGAAGGTCTCAGGAGGGTTCAAAGCCCTGGACCCTGGGGTCAGCCAGATCTCACAAACAGCTGTCATCCAGAGGCCTGGTTTTCCATACTCAGTTTTTGCGACATCCTTTATCTCCTGGGTCAGGTTTACCACTGAGATCTTACCGTGCCTTTTTCTGCCCTCCCCGGGTGCAGGAATACGCAGACTCCCTGGGAGTGCCCTTCCTAGAGACCAGTGCCAAGAACGCCACCAACGTCGAGCAGGCCTTCCTGACCATGGCCGCCGAGATCAAGAACCGGGTCAGCAGCGGCCCCACGCAGAACGACAGCCACAAGCCCGCCCTCCACATCCAGAGCGGCCCGTTACGGCAAGAAGGCACGGGCCCCGGAGAAGACGGGGGCGGAGGCTGCTGCTGAGAGGCTGTCCACACGCTGAGTGATGGAGGGCGAGTTTCAGGGAGTGCCCGGGAAGGGGGAAACGCCGGGCAACGGAAGCACCCCCACTAAGCATCCCAGCTTACCTTTGCAGACTTGGAACACACAAAGGAACGCCTGCCGGAGCATCGCCCAGCCCGCCTGCACCGGCTTCATTCCACGTTCTGGACTTCAGAGCTTTCAGAGTCACCCCTAATCAGTTGCTCCTCTGCTCCCGCCTCTTCCCAAGCCGGCCCACGGCTCTTCTGCTGACAGAGTTCCCAGGAATGCCCTGGAATAGAGGGCCGTCCACTGCAGGGTCCAGCTGTGCCCACGTCACAGTCCTGGAAGCGGCAGAGGGGAGCAGACGCCTTCAGAGGGGACTGAGGGAGGCGCACCCATTACATCCGCATGCACAATTCCACTTAACGTGGGGGAACAGCCGCCTCCTCTTGTTCTTTTAAACCCCCAAGCCCTTCTTTCATTGCTGAAGACCCTTAGAGCAACCCAAAAGGCAGGTCGCCCCTCTGCTCTTCTTCCTCCGCCCTAGTGTTTGCCTCCCTCCTCGCTCTCGGGACCCAAACCGTACGGCAAATACTTTCCTATTGTCCTAGCGGCCACAAAAGTCGCCCATCGTAACTCGGTAAAGCTTCAGTGATGTTTCTATGTCCTTCTTTCCACAACTTCCCTTCTTCCCCAGAACTTAAGACCCCCTGAGAAAGGAAAGGAAAAAAACCTAAACTTTTGAATGGGAAAAAATGGCAGGGATGCAGGGTTCTCCTTCGCATGCGCCCTGCCAGATGTTCCTAATAGGCCTTTTTCTGGTGCACACCTGCACCCGGAGGGCAGCTGCGTACAGTCCCATCCCGTTACCTTTAGAAGCCTCTAGAGCATGGAAAAATCCCCCAAACTGGGAGGGTAAGGACATCGATTCAGGAGACCTCATGAACTCTCACAACCTTTTCACTTGGAGCGAGGGATCCAGTAAGGAAAACCCAGATGCTCAAACCCCGTACAGCCGATCTGCAAGCCTCAGGTTCACGCCCCCTTTGAATCCTAGCACAGCCATCTTTCACCTATGAAACCCTTTTCCTGTATATTTTTATTCCGTGTGCCACAACGTAGAAGAGAGTAGCGCCCTATCTAGGTTTTGCCTGCCACCGAGAGGCCATTAAAAAAGCCATTTTCCCCCAGCAGAGCTCCTCCTTCCTCAAAAAGCCCAAAACAGCCCCCGGGGAGAAGAGGCGTTTTTCACACGGCTTGTTTGTCCTAGTTACTTAAATAAGCCATCTTTTTTAAGTTCATGCAGTACGCTGAATCCTACATTAACCAAAGACACCCTAAGCCATAAGCAACTAACCACGGCTACAAGCTAAAACGAACCTGACATTAAGGGGAGAATGCAGCTGCAAGGTCTGTAACGGAGCTGATCGGGTTCAGCGTGAACCCATCGGCCACAGTCTATCGGCCAAGGTTTTCTCCACCGCTTGGAGGATTCGAGGGTGGTTTGAGCAGGAAGAGCCGCTCAGGTGTGCTTCACAGGGCCAGGCTGACTTGAGACTTGTCAAGGGTAGGAGAGAGAAGGAAAAGGGGTTTCGTGAGAGCGGCGAACTCATATATCCGAAGTGCTTCTATGCATTCCTACTTCCTTACATTTAGGGTTTACATTTCCCTTATCTGCTCACAGGGCTGAATACGATGTACTGTGCAAACTTCGGTTTTCACCCCAAATGTTGTCCTGCTGCATTTGATGAAAGCTTTATATCAGAGTTGGTCAACCTTGGCCCCTTGAAGAGGTGTGGACTTCAACTCCCAGAATTCCCCAGCCAGCCATGGCTGGCTGGGGAATTCTGGGAATTGAAGTCCACACCTCTTCAAGGGGCCAAGGTTAACCAGCACTGCTCTATAGAGTTTCAAACTCTTAAAGATTTTCTCAAGGAACTGCAATGCTGTCTGCATCTGTAGCCCTGCCCTCAAAACATCCTTCCTAAGAATAGGGTATTCAATGTTTTGTGGGATCCCACCGCCCCTGTGAGGGGCCGTATGGGCCTTGCCAGGTAAGGCCTCCTGAGGGTTTGAGTCATCGGTGGACGCCGTTGAGAGCAACAGTGGGTCCCAGGGGAGACCTGGGCAGGTGAGGAAGAGTTCTGGGTGGCCACGTCCGTGCCACGAGAGCCATTTCCCATCAGATAATGCAGCTGGGGCGAAGGCCGGGTTGGGGGTGCTGGTGTGGGAGCACAAATTGGCGGGGAGGGTGGGCTGAGCTAGCGTACCCCATTTGCATGACATCTACTCTGAATGCACCTTTTTAGATCTGCTCTGATTTTTAGACCCACGAATTCCATGTCCTGTTGTGCATTTTAAACATCCTGTAGTCACAGATGCTGTCCCTCCTGCCCCCTTATCCATGTCGTGTGTGTCAATAAACCATTTCTCTCTCCACTTGGCTGTCTCTGGGTCATGGGGTCTGTCTGCCTTGCACGGAGAAGGGGGCGAGGGGAGAAACCAAGGACCTCCTCCCGCCCAGCCTGCAGAACTGGGGCTAGCTGGGAGGGCGAGAGGGCCTGGCAGAGGGGCCTCCTGCTTCAAGGGCCTTCACTCCAAAGGACTCTCCTCGTTTGTGGCTGCTGGAGCCACATGGATGCTCCTGTGTTTGCGTTTCATCTGATCACCAGTCCTGGCTACTCCAAAGCCTCAGATAAAGCCCTAAATGGGCCCGGAAAGTGCCCCACTGCAGGCACCCAATACCTTCCCCTGGCCTTAAGCCAGCTGGTTTCTTGTCCTCCACTCCCCCCCACTCCGCTTCAATAGGTTTCTTATCCAGGATTTTTTTTCCTTCCTTCCTTCCTTCCTTCCTTCCTTCCTTCCTTCCTTCCTTCCTTCCTT